GTTGTAGCTGCGATTACTTGGCATAGCATAGACATGGTGAGAGAATACAGAATAATTACTTCTGTTTATTTCCCAATATGAAATAAGCTAGTTACTACCCCTGCACTCTCCAACTAAACTATTTAAATAACGAATGTAACATTTCAAATTTGAGAAACAAACATCATGCATAAGAATTTCTTCCTGTTTAGAAGATAAAATTCTTTTATTATATGTTATCAAAAAATGATATGACTACGTTGGTACGCTTTTTATTTGCAGCATGCGGTAAAAATGATTAACCCCGTTTTGTTTTTTACTGGTTTTTATCAATTTTAACATCAACAGATATCATCAGACTTGCCTATCAATCTGGAATTTGAAATCATTAACTTATATTTCAAATTAGTAATCAACTTTTAAAACAATTTATAACTGATGAAACCGTAATGGCTATACATGAAATCATGCTCTGCATACAACTTCTGACTGCCAATAATAGTAGGAGTGGTTATGGTGACCAATGGATCACTTTCCTTGAACGGTGGTTTTCACTTTTTCTATATTATGCTTGCAAGCATTTTCTAAAAAACTTATCCATTCCATATCAGCCTCTTTACAAAAGTAAGATGCCCTAAAAGAGATACAGATTTGAATGATCTTTACAGTAATTTGCAACAAGATAGCTTAATTCTTAAAATTTAATTATTCTTTTCTTACTACGTGCTGTATGTACAATTGTACATACAGTATATGCCTATTCTACTTATTTTAATAAATACAGATTATCATCTATAAACATCATACAATATATTTATCTCATCCCATAAATGATTTAAAATAATTTTGTCTATGTATGTGCACTTTCATACTGAGTTATATATATTTCTAATCTGTTAATCTTTTATGTATCTTGAATACTGCGATTTGTACTGTACTGGCTACTACTGATGATATGGCGCTTAGTTGAGTAAGACGGTCTATACTATGTAATGTCATGAAATAAATGTTTCCCAACGTTCATAGAAATCGATCAGAATTACATATTTTAGCATTATATGATAGAGTAAACTTTATATTATACCCATTGCTGTTAACAGATATGAGTGGGGTTAAAGAACACCAAAGTACACGCAATCTAATATATTAGATACATCGTGACTTTTTATTGTGCTGCATACTGTTTGAACTAATCAGTTACATTCCTAGCTTAGTGGATACCTTAGATGTTAAATGAATACAGAGTCAAAGCTTTACTTCATTGTTTTATAAAATTAAAAAAAATAGCAAATCGTCCTTGCGTACAAGAAAATGTACATGTTAATAACCCGACTCCCATGTTATTTACGGCTGAAGTAATTAATCAGCGTGAGTATTTTGATATAACCGTACTAATTGCACTGGCTTTTAGTCTAAGGCTTATACTGTAATAAATATTTTGATCAATTATAATGTCTTGCCTTATCTTAGTACATGATACTGTAATGCTGTTACGAACTACTCATATTACAGTATTACATCAGTAACATAATCAATAATACGGCAAATTCGCCTTTTTTGTAGCATATATTCAATTAAAAACTTACCTAGTAAATTGTAAAATATTTAGGATACAATCGTGTAGGTCCAAAGCCTGCATGTAATGATACATTAAATAGAACAACGTTTTATTAGTGTTGTCAATATCGTTAAGCAAATAAAATTTTTTCGACTACGCTGATTAGGAATAAACCATATGGTAGAAACAATCGTAGGAACAATGAAACTTACACAAGTTTCTACATTTTCATAAGTTACAGGAGCGTAAAGGCTTATGACCAAATTATCCAAGCTAACGAATATATGTAAGCAATAAAGTTACAGTTGTGTAATTCTGAACGTGTCGAAATTAATCTTAAGCAAAGATCGTAGAAATCTGTAATACAGGCACTATATATTATGAGCTAATTAATGTAGTAGACCCATTACCGAGGACTAAGTTGATCAGTGTTTAATGTCAAGTTGTCTAAATCACGGTTGTGGCTTTCGTTGGAACTGAAACCACTCGCTTTTATTGTAGACGATAATTTATTTAAGGTGGCAGTTGTAACCTAGTCGATCAATTTCATTAATCCAACGAAAATACTCAGTAAGGTATACTTTATATCATTTTAGCATGATTCAATCACAGGTTTAAATAAGAGTTTTACTTTCATTAATCCAACAGTAGCGTACGCAATGTTTTTATCTTTAGAAGACCAAGTGCTTCCACTGCCATCATCTCCATTATCCACAATGGCCTAGATGAGGAGAAAGGGTGCTTTTAAGTACATCTACTTTCCGTAACTAAAGAGTTGCATTAATAGACTACAGAGGTTATATTTGAAAAGGCGTAAAAACCTGTTGAGCTTCGATCAAAGCATCCTTACACAAATCTTTTGAAGATTTTATTACATGTAAGCAAGCTTGCACATTATCTAGTTTCGAAAGTAAAGAAATACACGGTGTTAGATTCTTATTTTAAGTGCATATCAATGAATGGAGGTAGGGCGATTTATTAGTATAATCTTGATACGCAATAGCACATACGAGTGTGTTACATACATACCTTTTTGCATTTTTTCTAGATTTTCGCACGCTTCGACTACTTTTTCAGCTGCATAGGCAATTTGTTTACTATTATTGCTGGAGTCACACAAATATGCTATGATTAAAGTATTTGTTGGCCTTATCAAATTCATTTTATTTATAATGAAACAAAGTATAATTTACAAATAACAACGCAAACAAGATACTATGTATAAAATGTAAACAATTAATAGAGGGAATAACTGATTCTATACGAAGTTATTCCTACCTTTTGTTCGGTATCTCACTCGTTAAAGAAATGAAAGAATGAAGGTTAGATACAGTTATCGCGACATTGCCATGGATAAGCTTGTATAATGTTAATCCTAATGTCCAAATATATATTAGTTAAAAATTGTTAGCAGAAGTAAATTTCTGATTCAATTTATCATTACAACAGCCAATAGGAAGCATGCATAACAACTTATACATATAAAAATATTGTGTATACGAGCATATCAACCTGCGGATCGATGATAACTGTAAAATGAAGATGCAACACCAAACAGAGTTAATTCCATCGGTGTGATTAGTTCATTTAGTTCCTATAACAAATTCGAAAAGATATATCTATCAGACTGAGGTTGGTTGAATAATGTAGTTGTACATTGCTACTGATAAACATAATGCAACTATTAGATTATTTAAAAACATTTCAAATAAATCAGATGATTATCAGTAAGTTGTTCCTAATCGTACAAATCTGTTATGCAACAAATATGAAGCTATTAACTGCGTTAGATTTATAAATTTGTACCTGCAAAAGTAATTATTAGTAGAGGCAGCTGATTTATCGGTTGATAACTCTAATTTGACTACAGTTTACTTATAATTTAGTAGACAGATGTGAATTAAGCTAAAAACATTTATCGGTTTTCAAAGATTAAGGTGCTCGACACAATATAGTGACTATTGACCATGAATGATATACAAGTATTATACGAATGTGCAAGCAAGAGAGGCACTATAGCGGTTGGCAAATTCAATCTTTCTGTCAAACTATATAAGTACAGTATATAAATATTAATTGTAGGTAAAGATGATTTCGTGAGCCATACACATATAGTTATGCGTACAGTAAGCGTATGAATAGACTAAACGCATTGGTTGGATACCTTGCCCGAAGGGTAGGGAGGCTTGGACCACACAATACATAGTTTAAGGGTTTGCGTTGATAGATTTTGAACATAGGACACTGTAAATGATAATGTTATAAGAGGAAATAACATTGTTAAAGGTTATTGAAGGACAGCTACGATGCGCTATCGCATAAGATCAGATTAAGCAGTTAATCGGCTTAATCTCGTCTTATTTTTTTTTAACGATTCTCATAGTTTATTAGCACGAGCAAAAGGCAAACAGATAATTGTAAGTTTGGTATATAAATAGTTTGTATATTAGTACCGCAGAATAGCTATATGCTGCTATATAACAGATTTAAGATCTAAACACAATTAAGAATAAAATTACTGCTTAGATCCGTTAGCTCTACTTAAATAAGCTTGATACAATATTCATTTGGTAAAACTAGACGATAATCCTTGTTGAGGTAAAGCTAGAAATACGCAAAGTTGCAAATGGTGTATAAACATACGTAGAGTTTGCCAAAACGACGTCAGGTTAAATTCAGGATTATTGGTCGTCAATCGAGGCTCGCTGCTGCTTCCTAATAAGTCAATGTTAGTTGAATACATGTACGTAAATATTATCACCTATCTAAGGTAGCAACGTATGCATGTCAACATCGGACATACCAAGAAAATGAGAAACAAAATGAAAGTTTTACTAACTTTGCAATTCATCGCTGACAACTTGAATTCTATCTAGGAAAGCATCTAATGTTGATTGTTCTTCGCTACTCGTTGATGTATTAGCCATATCTAATAAAGCCAGAAATACACTATAGAAATAATGAAGTCTAGAAATTCGCCTTCAAGGTATTCCTTGCATCTAATTATTACTAATCATGAACTGAAATCGACCATCACTGCATCTTCAAGCTGGTGGGCTGGGCAAAGCTGCAATTACAAGTTGTAGGAAATGTGCCTATCTGCCCGGTTATTGTACTGTAGTTCTGACCACAAGGCGTCATCATAACGCCTACTCTTGTTTTTATTATCACTTGACTGTGCAAATAAGTTGTCACCATACTATACTGTATCTACTATACACTCCGTACAGTACAGTAGAAGAAAACGCTACAGTACTATCCTGTACAGTACACGTTCATGATACTGTACACTGTACACTGTACTGTCAAGAGACACAAACTGCGGTGCTTGGCGGATTTGTCTGTACGTCTGTATAGTAACATACATGGTTAATTGGAGACTCATGGAATTAAATTTCTTATGCGGTGCGGCCTATCGAATCATCGTTTATCATCTGTAGTCCCTGATATAAAGGTACTAGCTGAGCTAGAATTTCACTTCATATCTTAATATCGGTGAAGTAGGTTTGAATTCTTCTCAGTACTCTGTGGAAATGGACTGTTTCATGAATAGTCGGCCTAAGAACGTAGCAAAAGCAGGGTAGGGTGGCTTGGTAATATTATGTGGCATCGTTACCATGGAGACTATTTCGACGCACTTTTCTCTTTTCCTTATTGTCAACTGGCTATTGCTTGAGTGATAGGTAGACTTCTTACTTAAGTTATAGAATAGAGAACAGTATATGTAGTACTACAGGTTTTTACTGACGCGTATGTATTACGCGAATCTGTCATTATAAAAGGTAATTACGCATATACGTAATTATTATTGTTACTAGAGATACAGGGCACGGGAGGCAGCATCTTCATATAACGCGAAATTATCGTGCCAATTTTACATATTCTGATATCCTTTATATCAAGTCTTGATTACTTAACTCCCTTCATTTTCTGGTCTCTTTCTGTTATCGGATTCGCAAACGTTTTATTTTACTTTAAAGGCGTCGTACCAGGCTGCAATGGTCAATTATAAAAATCAACTAAATTTTGTCCATCGTAATCAGATATGGTAAGATAAATCTAAAGTCGTTATGTTAAATATCAGGATAGATATACACGATAGATTACATTGTGAAAATATTGCTATAACAGCTTATTGTACCGCTGTAAATCATTCACAATAAAGGAAATAAATTACTTAAATAAAAATGTTTCAAGTATAGCGAACTAGAATACTATATAGGAAAAAAAATTAATTTTAACATTTATTCTTTCTAGTTCATCGTCATTTTCTTAACTTAAGTCGATTTTAAATAGGAATCGTAAACTTAGTACTCTTTTTAATATACAAGTAGCAGCTAAAGAGTATTGTTTACTCCAAATATATAGAAAATAGATAAGTAAAAAATGCTAGTAATTTCTTTAAAACTATTTTCCGCTTACTTAAATTTTAAGCAATGATCTAATTTTCATCATCTAATTTTTACTTATTTAATCCATTTGTCGTATTTCTTAATTCTAAAAAGGAACATAGATTTAAAGAATTTGATTTTATTATCTTGCACTATAGGAGTGATCATATCTTAGCGGAGAGGGGAGCCGCTAAAAGATGGCCAGAGACGTGGGGCTTTTTGACAGGAGGAGGCTTCAAGGCAGTAAGTTATTGAGTATTTTTTATATGAAGAGTATTGATATCGAGTTATCTAATGTCTATTTGATATGGCTGGTTGTCCGTAGCGTATAGATTAGGAAAATTATATCATATATATTTTTTACGTTGTATAATATCCTTGAGATTAGTGTTTCGTACTTATAATCAAATGACCAATAATAGTTATAGTTAGCTTATAACAGGTAAATGACAGCAATTTTAGTTAGGTAATATTTTTCTGTATTTCAAACTTTGATCGTCTTTAGTTGATTGATGACGAAAGAGAAAAGAGGAGGAAAGAAATGGAGAAAAAAGGTCATGCAGGAGGTATAGATGTTGTTAAGCTACCCCCAATCCAAAATAAGGTTCAGTCTAAATCGGCGAAGCCCTTTCCGAAAACTACCTCTCAGGAAGTTGGCCATCGATCTACGCAAGGCCAATGCAATCTAGAGATTTATGGTCGTTACGCACCAAATGCGAGAGGCTACGGTGGTTTATCTAAAATGCTGAAATGGCCACCAGAAGCATGTTACTAAAGATTCTTTGGATATCTATTTGATATCTCCCTCATAGAACCGGCTACCTTTGTAAATTTGATCTAAAATATGAGATGTTATGAATACAAAGCTAAATTAAAGAATCAATGTATACCATGCGTTATTTTTGAAATATCACGTATTATATTTTCTCCTTCTCATATTAAAATTTATGATTATACGTCAAATAATTTAACTAGTTAGATCTCCTCAGGCATTATACACTTAAATTGATACTCATTTATCTATCTTTTCGTCGGTATTCATTACTGAAATGAAACAGTCTAATATCAGGTGTGCTAGTTTGGATTTCAAAGTGCCATAGTCAATGTTGATCTTAATCTTGTTTGCTACAATTAAAAATGATCACTCATAGTATAACCAAGCGATGTTTTCACGAGATGTTAAAGTTTAGTCTTTATTTATGTAATTAATAAAATATGAATTAAGCAAAGCTCAATATGATAACGGATTGATTTAACATAAATTAACTATAAAACAGTGGTTATATATTATAATAGTGGCTAGCAGTCTACTCTATAAAATTTTTTTAATTCCATTCATGATATTAAAAGTATAAATATAATACAATTGTGACGATGGATCGCAGAAGTTTGTACTATAAAATAAGTTATTGGCAATTGATATAAAATTCTGTTTACAGTATTAGCTGCTTTACAATTAAAATCAAAGACAGAAAATTGCTTATATAAAGCTGGTACAAAAAAGATCGATAGCACAAAATTATTGAAACAAATGAGGATAACTTATATTCTACGAGGCAAATACCAGATCTTGTCAGGAAAGAGATATAATTTTGAGTACCAAACCGCTATAATATTGACTATTGATATAAAGTATACTATATCATATACCTTACAAACAGAAAAAAATACATATCATATATAACTTAAATATTATATTACTGTGATATTAAGTTTTATTCTACTATCAAAAAAAGTTTTGCGGTAGACAGCTATTATTTTACATATACTGAAGCAGTACTACAATAAAACAAAAATGCTTTAGCATAGATCATCGATAGGAATGCTAGTCTATCGGAAACTTACATAGTTAAAAATTTTTTCCGGTTGGTGATATAATTTATATGGGTTGTAATTAAAATTTTATCAGGCAGACCCAAATAACTGTAGATTAACAGTTTCATTTGAGGCTGTTGTGATGACCAAAAAGCACTTTGATTCAGAATTAGCTCTTGTAGGGGCATAAGTAATGGGTAGTCTTATATAGTGTCTAGGTCTAGAAATAAAATAATAGCAACTGTATTAGGACAGAAGTGATAATAGAAATAAATCGACATTTGAAACCATACTTAATAGTGAAGGAGTGGTGTCTGACAGAAAAGGGAATCGGCGGAGTGAGAACCGTTACCTAGCAATTAAAATGGAAAATGTAATACACAATTTATAGTATTACTTAACGAGATACGAATGATACTTGATTAATACTTACAATATGTGGTACTTTTGCACTGTTACATAATTTTACTTTGATGGTTGATGATTTACCAATAAGAGTTTTCGGGAATACTACCTTTTCTTCCTTAAAATATATATTTTTTCGCTTGTGAGATTCACTGCTTTTCTCATCATTCAATGTTTCTTTCATATCCCTTGTAGGCTCGTCTTGCTTTTGCTGGATAGTAGTCAGAATTTGCTCTTGATTGAGCTTAATAGATTCTGAAGAAACCTTCGCATCATCACTTTTTAGGTAATCTCGATATCGCAATGATATTTTCCTTTCTTTGATCCTTCTGATACACTAAAGCGATATATAATAGCAAATAAAGTACTAGCCAATAAACCACTGTGAAAAGCACCCGCATCATTTTTAATACCTCTCCCTTCAAGTGAACTCTAGTTTTCGTGGGTTTTTCAGAAATACCAGTGAATTCCCTAGGCTGAGTCTAAAGGTATCATTAAAGATTAGGTCAGACTATAAACATTGAAAATACTATCAGATGATGAGTATATCAAGTAGCTACTGTGGCTCAGTTCACTCATAATTTCTTTTACCTCCAAATCCCAAAATTGGGAATAGCAACCAATCTCGTTAGGCGCAAATCTGACTTTCACCTATATGGATAAAGTGCGGTTCCATAAGATAATAGAGAAATATTGGGTAATATATAGATATCGATTAAAAAAGTTTGCTAAGTAATAGCATTCATTTTACTGTGATAGAATCGTGTCGGTCTAATATGCCATAGATATTACTGAAGTTAAAAGCCGTATGGCCAGTTCGATAAACTTCCTCTGTCTTATTCTCCTAGATATAATAATGTTTAATATGCTGCATGTCAAACTCGTGGCTGTAGCTAGTGAAAGATGCGTCCAGTCATCTTGATCTAACCTTAATATATGCAGGAGTCAGTGAGGTTAAGTTCCATTTTAAAGGAATAGTAGAAGAATTACTGATGTGAAAATTGGTCTCTAAGAAAGCGAAAAATGAAATATTAGTCAAAGTATCGGCTAGATTTCTGTAACTGAATTTTAAACGATATTAACAATATTACCGGATACATTGCCGATGATCGTGTTTGGAAAATCTAAAACTCTGTCAGCTACCGTGGTGGTATTTTTTTCATTATGTACGATGCCAAATTTTGTTCGGCGGCCACTAATAGGTGGCCTAGTAGACATTTTCTCATCGTCAAGAGAAATATTAGTGGTTTCTCGGATTTGGATTCGAATGGCCTACGAGTAGAAAATATTCTTTACTTAAAACTAGTATATTTACACTAATTCACAGATTGCTCATGTATTAAGATCATGTAAATGAAAAGCATCTTGCAAGAGTTGGCCAATATACACTTAAATTTTTAATATTAGAATACCTTTTGAGCGCCATCACATACAACATATAAAATTCCACACCAAGGTAAATCAAATGTTGTAGTAGCTAAGGATGGTCGTGTGCTCACTAAGATCATCAAATGGCTTCTGTAGAAAATCGATAGAAAGTTTCGAATTTGGTATTGAAGCACGAAAGAATTTATTTAATCAAAGAGTTTTGAATTTAAAATACTATTTTGGAAGTGTAATTTATGACCCACTTTGGAGATATAGTTCCACTTTCTGGAGTAACTGTTAAATAATGTGCAGGCCATATCATTTCATATCTAATTTTAAACATTGTTAATTAGTAATATTAGCAACTTCATCAATTAGGTATTCGGTATTTGTATGCTACTCTTTGATATTATGCAATACACGCAAAATTACTTTAAAGTACGATTGGAAAGATTTGCCATTTGCAGTCTTGCAATATTTTTAAAATTATCTAAAAATTTAATTAAATCAGAAGATAGTAAATTGAATTTTACATGAACGATTCAAATCTTATATTAGGTAAAAATAGCTTATTTACCGACAGTTGGAGCTGTTAAAATAATTTGTTCCGGATCCAACGTCCAGCTTGATTCTATCATTATTGTGATCCATCAAGAGATGATTTAATTTTATTACATACAACAATGTGACGTATTGATATGTATTGATCTAGTGTATGTTAAAAGAAAGCCTACTTTCATTCTGTTGCATCAATAAGTCGTCTTTCTCTGCACTCAGAATCTTTTCTTCTAGACTGACTGTTTCTAGTATAGCATCCTACAATGCGGGAGGGAGAATGAAATTTTAAGTGTTATACCAAAGAAAACCGCTAAAAATTCACGTAAGTTTTCCTACATGTTTTATCTTCTCTATACTTGGCGAGGATTGGCTTACAGGATTGGTATTTTGTTTTGCCATTACAGAAGGTTGATTTACGGGATTGATGTTTTGTAGTGATATTTCAGGTTCACTCGATTGTTTGCTTGACAAATTACTTATACTGTGAAATTTTGAGATGTAATCATCGCCTACTGTTGAAGATGCGATCAGAGAAATAGCTTTTTCTTGAAGGTTTAATTTGGAGATATTGTAGTCGTTTACGGCCACATCATATTCACTTATTTCTAAATCAGACATGCAAGATAGTTTAATAGGAGCTTAAATTATTAAAATATGCAATATCGCCCGATAAGTAAAATTACCGTCAGTCTGGCGTTCCCCCTGATAGTTTTTGTTGAATGTTGCAATAAAATTCTGATCGTTTGCATTCTCCGTACTCTCGACAAGATTCTTAGATAAACTTATGCATCTAAAAATTGCAGATGTGCGGCGATAAATTGAAACTCCATTACTGAATCTCAAATGATAGCATACTTTGCCACCGATACATAGTTGTAAAATGCTTTCACACTAAAATGGTCATACTTTCTATACCTGATGTACCGCTGTCTACAAATCTCATCTCCAGTGTAAGCTACAATTGTTGTCATCAAAGTTATACCACGTTTACATCTTGCAATGTCTTCAGGATTTGGAGTAAATCTTACAACAATATTCTATAAAAATATAACGTAACTTAGTGATAGAAAGTATTGCAACTATAAAAGTCTAATAAAAAAAATGAATATCAAAGTCATAAGCTGCGCCGGTTGATAAAATCTTACCGTAATTGCGACAAATACAAGTATTATGCATATAAGTATTTTAGATCAATATGGTTACCTTTTCAGCATTATCTGCTATGACAAATTCATCTGGTATGATAACTAATCTATCGAGGCCGCTAATTCTAGTTTTTTGTTCATCTAATGAAGAGTCGGTTAAGAATGAATCGTTTAAACATGGTACAGAAATTATACTCGTATGTTCTAATATGGTCTTGCACAATTAACTTACCGTCGTAGCCGATGAGTTTTACGAAAGCAGCTCGATCACCAGTATTGGTAATTGTAAATCTAACAACACTTAACCTATTAGCGCTAAGCTAATATAAAAAACATAAAGCGTTACAATCTATATTGTGTACTAATAATAAGCATGCGATTTGTAGAAATTGAAATGACAGTATATCTTCCTTTCGAATCTACATTACCTCGTCCAATTTCGCAAAGTAGCCATCAGCTAATTCGCGCACACCAAGTAAACCGATTTGAGACGTTCCACCATAGCCTTGAAGAGGAATCTAGATGTTTTTAATTTAGTAAAATGAGACGCAGTTAGCATTGATAAAAAATCTAATAAATGTAATGTTGGCTTTCGAATAGCAACACTATACCTGATAATCAGTATTTGATTCCATGCAGGTAATTAACAATTCTGATCGGAAAAATTTAATAGCATTTGGAATAAATGCTATGCGTACATGATAGTTCTCCTGTGAATGCCATTAGTCATTTACAAAAATTTTGATCGAAATTAAGTTTATGTAAGAACGTCACAATAAAGTATTTAGTGTGATTGATAAAGTTTAATATGATATTGTTATAGTGACAATAACCTTCGGTTTAATGCTGAAATAGGGGTCCTTTGAGCCATGATTCTCATATGTGATAGAATTTCGTAGCTATTAAAGGCATTAATAAGTTTCAATTTTAATATTAATACATTTTAATAGATTGCAGCCTAGATCTTAAGGAACAAATAGCACAAGCCATACAGCGAAATATTGTTCATCTTTGATAGTCATCTTCAATCTTAAACTGGAATCAGACGAATTACGCAGCGATAAAATCTGCTCCCTGCACATCGGACATAACTTATGAGTATTTATTAACACATCGAATAGTAAAAATCAATGAAACACATCAGAACTCACTTAGTTTGCTGAAGGTTGACACAACCCCAATCTACTAATGACTTGTTACATAATAGAAAGCTAGGATAGTTAAAGGATGAATTAAGCTTTAGGTGAAAACAACTAGGGGCTTGTTATGATTTGAAAATTTATCTTAAATAAAGAAGACGAAGTCGATACCGACTTTGTATTGCTAGGTTGAATATTAATTTGCTCAGAATCTGTTCGTTTCTTCAGAGTGTAGCCGGAGAGGTTAAGCTCATAGTCAGGACCAAAAGGTTGGCAATGCAAAATGAGACGACTGTAATTTCATTAAAGCGTAAGGTCAGTTAAATCAAAAGGCATTTAAGCAAGGCAGTATATGATTTTAAAGTTACCCTTCGATTCTACGAACGTATGATGTAGGAGAAAATGTAATCCTAATGCACTTTGTCTGCAACAGAAATTTGCAAAAAATATTAACGCCATTTAAATTAAATAAAAATATCTAAATTACGAGTTACCTCTCCTGTGTCTAAATGCAATGATTTCGGTATAGCCGTAAATGAATCTCGGTATCCATCAACTGCTATTGCTACGTTGCTATTGATGCTACCGGCGTTCATTAGTGGTACTTCAATACTATCCTGTTGACCAATTGGGCAACTAAGATTGATATTCTGCATAATTTATGTTGATAAAAATTTATGAGAATGATTGGTGATCGACAGAAAAATTGATTTTACAAAAGACTTAAACATATGCAATATAATAGTCGTATAAGCTAATTTATTAAAGCAAGCGTTGTACACTAACTTGTAAACTGCGAGGTACATGCAGTCTTGGTATTCCAATACGAGCTTTCACTTCTAAAGATGGAAAGCATGTAGTTGATTCCAGGTCTATTGTAGGAAAATAGTAAGGATTAGTTAATAGTATACTAATGATTCTATAAAGGCGCTAATAGATCAAATCGCTTTAGTGTGAAACTGATATGTTAAAGCATACCATTAAAGTTACTGTCCAGTTTGCAACTTATTCGCGCGTAGAACTCTTCATAGGGAGATAATTCGCCTTTGTAAAATATTAGAAAATCTCTTATAATTACGATGGCTAGCGGAATATATACGTCATCGGTATTAAAATTTTTGACAATTAAAATTACCACTATGCCATCTAGGAGCAGTAAAATGGACCCAGATCGTTTGGTAATCCATGGCATTAGACTTGGGCGTTTCATGAAGTAACAAATGTGTTTAAAATAAAAGATATTTTTTAAATTAAAAAAGCGCATCACCCTACTGTTACATGAAATGGAATGTAACTTTATACCTGAGTGCCGTATTGTTTGGGAATCAAGACACTAAGAACGGTGGTACCAGGCTGACTCAATTCTTCAACATTGATTATCCTTTCAGGCAAATGGTTCAATCCCAAGGTAAAGTATCCAGAATTGGACGGAGACTATATATCATATAAGACGGTGAATTATTAATAATTCAGATATTTAACACCAATAATTTTGTACGGCATAGTGCATCTTACAGCAACAATTGTTAAACGGAGTGGTATCTCCGTAGTTCCTTTATTGACAATGTTTATTGGTATAGATTTACGGCTATCTACTGCTACAACTTTAAAATCCAAGGAGTTGTTTGAAAGATCTTTGGAAGTAATCTATGATACATTAAAAAAAGATTTCATTTTCGATGCTGGTAAGATAGAAGCTATTTTCTACTTACAATTTTTGCCCATATGTATTAATGTGAATTACCTCCAGTCGCGGATACTCAGCTTTGCCGTGTGTTTGTACATCAACAAACGGCCAGCTTCTAAAATCAGTTTTAGGTTCTGTTGCTAATGCATAATATAACCTAAATTGCCCAACGTGAACTCCTTCGTTTGTAGGTCTAAAATTAACCTAATTAAATATGTAATAAATTATAAAATGTTCTTACAAAATTTTAAATTTTTAGGTAGCTAGTATATAAAGAAGCCGGAGTTCAACCTCCATCTGTTCATCTCCATTAGGCCTGAGTATAATTCTATCTTTAACTTCGAACACTGATTGAGAATAGTCTTGGCCATTTAAAGTTTGGTATGATAACGATAAGATGCATTGTACCCACAGTTTGTTGACATTATGTACGGTAAGATTAGTGACAGCACGAAATCCAATGCAACAAGGTTTAGGAAAATATAACGTAGACGGTGCCACCACCTCCGGATATAAATTACTATTTTGCGTAACATCGTGCGATGTACTACTTTCTGGCTTTGTTTTCGGAGAAGGAATTACTCGCACAATTGTATCATGTGCATTATGTAGTTCTGCATCATGATCATTTAGTATACTTCTTACTTTGTTCTTCCATATTGCAAAATTTGAGTTTTCTAGAGACGTCGGTGGGTGATCGCCGTATGAATGCTGATCCTTGGTTTTATCAACGCTGCTAATTCGCTTATCATACGCAGGCGATATTCTACCACCTGATCTTAATATTTCATCGATCCTTGAGCCTATAGGATTATAAATTTTGATAGATGAAATAAAACTAAGAAAATTTTTGGTTTAATCAATCTGTGCCTCGGTTGATATAAGATTAGCATCAGATTGAAATTATTTGCTATATGGAATTGCGCTTTTAAAGAGATTAGTAAGTGTTCAAAAAGCAAATAAATAGTTGAATTATTTCTTTTACATATTTAAGTAACTTTTATATTTTTACCTAAGGTGTTTAAGGTTTCATGCCTGTTCTCGTTATTGTGTACGGACTGTTCCCTCGTAATTACATATTTATCATTGTTGCTGATGCCGTTACTTAGATTTTTCTCATGTCTATGGTTATTGAAATCTAAATTTACTTTTTTGTCAAACTTACTATGACCAGAGGTCATCAATAGTTGTGATGAATCAATCTGCTTATTTCCATAATGCTCGTATGTTCTATCAACTAGTAGTTCTGATTTCGAAGGATCATACGTAATAGGTTTTCCGGACGTTGCATTTACGAATTCTTTATAATCAAGCATTCCATCATCAAAATGTTCTATTGCGTGCAGCTCATCCGCTACATCTTTGTAGTTGGCGTGCTGTTTAGCATTTATTATTTCCGTGTCTAGCATGATCGAATCGCCAGTGAGAAATTTATCGATTTTATCTATTAATTTCTTCTCATCAATTCTTTGTTGAAAATCTATTTCTGATATATTCGAATCTAAATCACCATCAAAGGGTTCCAATGTCATTTTATTAACTGTAGCGGCTTTTACGTCGTTTTCGCTATTAGCAGGAATGGTTTTTGAGGCCAAATGAATTGTACCGTCTAAATTTTCCTTTGATGAAAGTGAACGCTTACCACTGCCTGACAGCAAAGTTGCAGGGGGTGCAGCAGGAGGAGTTACGATATCATGATCAATTCCAAACAACGGACGTTCGGATTGCCTATCTACTTTTCCGGTTAGGTTGCCCAAAGGTTCTGTTTTTAGGTTGAAGTATGTATTCGGAGAAAATTTATTATCTTCACCTTGATAGTTAGATATGTTAGCGTTAATGAGAGATAAATTGTTTTCATTTATAAGCTCGGTTTCGCTTCCGTGTACTGTGTCGTTACTTGCGTGTTCTGCAGCAAGCTTGGCTTCCTCCTTGTTTAATATTTCTTCCAAATTTTCAGTTTGTAGTCCAAATTCTTCATTGCTAAGAGTGATATTTACTCCAATAGGAGTATGAAATACTGCTGATCCCGTATCCGTATCGAAAGGATTAGTAATATCATTTGCAAATTGTGATTCCTTAAAAATATCATCTTGATTTGGAAGGCTTGATCTCCAACTTATTTCTAAATTATTGAGCATATCAATTTTAGCCTTAATCTGCTCCTCTAATGAAAGATAGCCTGTTGTTTGATCCGAGTTATCATTTGTTTGCTTAGTTGATGTCGGATCGTTAGTATCACGAAGAGTACGTTGATCTACCAACGAAACTTCAATTTTCGAATCTTGAGTGATCTTAGGAACAGTACTAACAACGTCTTTATTGTTGGTATCAACTGAAAAATCTGGAAGCAACTCGTTAGTTTTAGTGCTACGATGCATTGAATTATCAAGACTTGTATTTTCTATTTTTATGTTCTTGTTGGGAATTTCGATAGTATTTAATACGGAGGTAACGTTCTCTAGCTGTTGATTAAATGCAATAGATTCAGCTACACTGTTTAATTCTTTACTTTCTGACGGAATACCAACTTTTTCGGTTTTATTTTCTTGGGATAATATCACTTTGGATGTTTTATCAATTTTAGGTGTTGTATCAGGCCATAGGATAGTGTCTAAGGATAAGTTGCCGCCAACTGAAGCTAGCTGACTATGAATAGAGTCTGGTTCATTAACAAGTGGATCAAATTCGCTGACCGCTTCCCATGACATTTGCTTATCATTAAAATTTACCGGGGGTTTACCAACGGATGGAGTGGTATATTTTAGTAGTAGCTTTGGTGTTCCTAAATTTTCGTCTTCGTTGCTCATACTATTTTGAGTCAATTTAGCGTTATTTTTTAATATTGTTCTAGGGCCGTTAAATGCACTGGATGAGATACCACCTGAGGTCTTGAATTGATTGTTATCGGGGGTTTGACCGGTTTCTGCGCCATCCTCTAAGTGTATATTAGTTTTTATTTGATTAATGAACGCTTCTCCATCTACAGCGATACTAGCAGATCCTATAGATTTAGCATAATCTCTTTTACGTCCCTTCTTTTGTAATTCATCGCTAAGATTATTGTAATGTACCTCTGGTGTTGGTAGCGTAGACCTTTTAATATTATCATCAAATAATTTATTCGAACCACTGTTACGACGATTGTCATGATCGAGGGATTTTGAATTTGTAGTTAATGGTCCAATATTGAAATTATTACTGACAAAATGTCGCGTAGTTTCTAACAGTTTCGTAGCTTGTTCTACTACGTTATCTTTATGTTTAGAATTATTATCGATCTCATGAGAGTCTACAGTAGTAGAATCAATCGCTTGCCTTGAAGGTGGTCTGTTAGGATCTGATTTCATCATAGTAGTAATCCATAGAGGAGTTCGTCGACCGGACGTGTGTTGATAGGTTGGGGTACTAGTATTAGAATTTCTGTCGTTGGTATTTTGGGATGTATTAGATTGATTAATACCTTGGATATTTGTACTAATATTAAGAGATGTACTGGAAGCGTCAGCATCGTTACCAATATTAGTATCAGTTAAGCCATACGAATGCTGATGAGTAAAGTATTCCTTTAAGTTATTAGTACTCTCATGGCTATCTTCATGCGCTTGTCTTTTACCTTCTTGCATACTTAAAGTTTCAAAATCAGGTCTAATATCTGTAGGTGATAGCAAAGGAGGGTAGAATGTAAACGGTATTACTGGCAATTATAATCAAATAGTCACCAAGAGATAATTACTCAAAGAACTGCTAACTACTTAATCTACCAAGAGTATGTCATTACTAGAACTTTAGGTGCAAAGATTTCAAAACTTACCCAAATTGCTTAAATCATCTGTAGTACTTTTTAAGGAGAAATCCAAACTTGACGGCAAAATGGAAGGTCTTAGAGCGGATAATTCGGTATCATCGTCTAAATTTTTCTGTCTTTTCTTCATTTGATGGAGTGATCTTTTAGAATTGCCTAAAATTTGGTCTGATCGACTTTCTTCCTTTCCAAATATTATGGGACTGTTCAAATGGAAATCAGCAAAGGATGTCTGAATAATCGACGACCGATAGCTGTTGCCAAGAATACTTCCAATATTTTCGTTAATTTTCTGTTCTAAATCGGATAAGTTAACTAGAAGAGAAAATAATCAGTATTTATATTGATATTAAGGTAATATAGCATATCAATAACGAAAGTATAGTCCTATATTATGAGAGTGAACTTTTGTATACGCAGCTATATTGCCATAAGATGAGTTATGCGATTAAAAGTATTACAGAATCGATTTTACAATGTTAAGTCTAAATTTAATAATGTAAATGTAGTAATACAAATACAAAGGGAGAAGTTAATTTAATTTAGTTTATAGCAAGTGATATGATAAACATTTCTCCGCTTATTACCATCATCATATTTTCTGGTGGTATCGGATTTAGCATTTGTTTGATGAAGATTTTTGTTACTGTTAGGCGAGTGACTTTGTCCATGACTGTCGTTAATGGGTTGCGTATAATTAGACGTAGCCATAACGGTATTGAGGAATTTGCTGTAAATCAGCTTAAGGCTGTAAATTGGTTAGAATTGACGTTAGCGAATCATCATCTTACAAGGCTGCATGATAAGGGGAAGATAGTTGTTATTGTGGTCCATTTGCTACATTAGTATTGTAATGTACTATCATGACGAATAAGCAGTTTACTGGAGATCAAGTTTACAATGAATAAAAATTAGAATTTGAATAATTCTAAATATTGTGTTTTAACAACATGGATAATTTGTTACAAATTGCTAACTTATTTGCTACATGGATTGTAGTAACTCGACTACTGTGCAGTAACACAGACAACGGTTATTTATCTTCAAATAAACTTTAGTGTACTGTATTGCCTTTTCATTGTACCAGCTTTACTTCATGCGTTGACAAAATTTGTTTTAAGATAGAATTAGTATGTATGTATTTGTACAATATTATCCTATTGTACAGTACTCGTATTACACCATTATTGAAAGAAGCAGTTTGATGAGAAATGAATGATAATATGGTGACAGAAGTTGAGATTTATTTTTTATTTATCGCTCAACGTTCCATTACTACTGTTATTGTAAGCCTTTCTACTCTAGTAATATTACATGTGATATCCTCTCACCTTGATTTCGATGTATTTTCTTCTTAATTTAATGTATACTGTATACCACAAAGTTGGGCAGACTTTCCTGAGCCAATCCAATCAAGCTCAAGGTAGTATTGTAAGATGAGCTGGTGCAGTTTACAATAGGATTGTTACAATTGCAAATACCAATTAATCTTGCATTGGATGTTCTTTATCGGTCAGAATAATTCAAGTGAGAGCCTGCAATACATCAATAATGTATGCAATCGTTTCATTTGAGAAATTTAATGTCAAATCTACTTTGACTGTAAATCTAATAAACGATGTTTTTAATTTTGTGAGTGGGCTAATCGATTGCATATCTACAGAGTTGTACCTGGATCCAAAATCATTTCAACACTCGTTCATTTTAATATAGAGAAGAAATAGAAAAGGACAACTGTATTCAACTCTAGTACATTTATCTATACGTATCCAACTATTAAAGATAAAAGATTTAATTTTAAAATGTAAGTCTACCAGGCTAAAAGAATTAAAAATAAATGATTAAGCGATAGTCAATACATTGGATCTTATCGAATGATCTTGCAATTTGTAATCGATCAGTCAGTTTGTTATTAATACAACTTAGAGCTCTCACAATCTATTGACTGTCATTATCATCTGTTCTATAGGGCATAGGAAAAGTCATTTACCTTGGTTAGGTTGTGGCTCGGTTAGAATGGCTAGAGCAAGTTGAATGTTGACATTAATTGTGGATTGATGGCGGGTGGATTTGAAAACCCGCCATTGAATTTTGCTGTGGAATTAAAAAGAAACGATGCTATCCGGCTAGAGTACTGGCCATCAATATTCGTACGCATTCAGTACGTACAGCAGTGGGATATATACTAGAGTGGATTACAAGAATTTGCATAGACTATCTAGCCTGTGGATTGTACTACGGACTACAGTACAGACGTACAGGCTAGGTCACCGACTCATCGAACAAAATTATAATCTCTGACCCGGGGGCGCTAGATATTCTACGCAGCATACAGTATATAGTATGATAATAAAGACAAATAATGTCACCTGATAGCGATAGGCCGTGGACTCACGCCAGCAGTCCGGTCCGAGAGGCTGGCATAGCGACATTATTTATGCTAGCCAATGATTCAGCACAGGTAGTACACTCAAACACGGTATTCCAGTATAATATTGTACTGCGTACATGAGTATTCTCATCAGTGCCAATCGCCTGCAAAAATAGTGTCACTACCATAACTACCGTACTAAGAGGGCCAGGCTGAATGAAATTATCCTAGTAGTGACATTACTTTCGTCAATCGTATCAAAATACAAGGCCTCGCCCAGGGACTAAAGTACTAAAGGCCATTTTTGAGCCATTTCTGATGGCCTCGTATGGACGCTGCCAACACTATATGCAAAGCTAGTATTTCTGCCTGCATATTTTACTGTTACAGTTGATTTTATTGGTTTTGGTTTCTCCTTCTAACATCTCTAATTAGTGTGGCATCTACCATCTTGTCTGACTGCTACTGAGCTATAGATATACTCTATCGGATTAGCCATGGAAGAGGACTACTGTACAAGGCAGGTCTTAACTACTATACTGTACTATACTGTACCAGGGATTTAGAAGACTGTATTAGTCTTCCAAGTCCCTGACTGTGCTAAGTACAGTACTGGTGTAATGGTAACGATTTATACAGACGTACAGAAGTACGTACTAGAGGCTACTACTAAAGTTGACCATGCCCAGCGTTACTACAGCAACTGGCTGCAGCTCCATTCTAAAGTAGAATTTATTTACGTTCTGTGGAGCAAGTCATCGATCAGCTTAATTCATCGAGAAGATATGGCATGGCTAACTTGTGGACGTGCAACAGTCGTTGTTTTCCTATCGTACATGGTTTATAATTTTTATGCCTTATACTTATTATTTTACCCTCAGCAATGTTCTATAGTTGCCAAGAATGAAAATAATTGTCTGAGGCCGTTTTTGAAAGACGATGCCAAACTATCAGTAAGATCAATCGATCGCTCTTATTACATCACTGTCACTCGTAGATCTAAACAGAAAGAACAAAGTGTTCAGTTTTAATATTACTGCAGCAGCAGCTTTTCCAATGTAGAGTATTGCTAATGGATTAGCTGATCGAGCATGCCTTTCTGTACGTTGCTACGCCTAAATCATGCACTGACCGTTATGGTTATGCAGTCACAATGCAATGATGCTAATACTGTCGTCATAAGAAGAGAAAATGTTACGAATGTATACTAAGGCATAGGCTTCTAGAACCTCAGAGATTCTAGTAGCTCTTAACCAAAGTCATTCATTTAATTTATGGATACAATAGTAGCAGTTTACATGTTACAAAATACCATGTATTTGCAATTAAGCCATTACTAGGATAATGACAATCGCGAACTGTCTGATATTCTTACAATCTAAGTATAATGTCGTTGCATAGACTATGCCAGTATATTTGAGCAAGATGAATACTGTACATGGGTAGATCTTCGGGCTACGTTACGGTAGATATTGTTACATTTTATGCACTATCCAGAGTTGAAAATGCCCCTGATACTGTATGCTGCTCTGTTACTAAATTTATGGATTAAGCTACAGTTATATCGAGATTTAATTTCATCTGTTTTCATAACTTTATAACTCGCTGTCTTAGTTATATGTCTTAGTTACAGTGAATTTCATTATCGATGCAACTGATAAACTTGAGCATAGGAACCACACATTCTTTTCCGTCATTTTATAATGATCAAAGAGATCTAAGAAATATCTCTTTAATAATAACAAACGGAATAGACGTTTCTTTCTATCCATTCAGATTTTCGAAACTATTTCTATAATAGTTGCAGATTTACACCTCTGTCAAGTCAACAAAGCAATCAATTAGAAAATTATCATCAATATATACAGAAGAAGATTTTCATTATCATAAAGCTTTTACAAAGTAAGTAAGGAATGTACCAATGAATTAGCTTCTTTTATCCTAACATACGTACTTAGGACTCATCAGTTTTGGAATATCTTTATTGTACTTATAGATGGTTATACATATATGAATAGTTCAATATTTATTGGCTATACTGTACAATGCATATGCATTACAAATAACAATTACCGATGTTATGTTGACACCGATCACCCTAATCTAGGAACATGTACATGACTAATCTAGCATTAATCGATTAAATCTGTAATTGCTATTTCTACAATAGGTCTGTTAATGTAACCTTGCCATCTGCTGTGGTTAAAAATGGAACTTTATTTGCTCACATTGTTATCTATCCGTATCTTCAAATGATTGATGGCCACAGTCTTGCTTATACGATTGCCCCGCTCACTCGATATGCAATACCTAAAGCTGATACTCAACATTTATTATCTAGCAGCATTCAAAATAGGGTAAGCTACAATCTCTAAAGTGTTACATAACAATAAGGATATTACTCATGGTAGTTTATTACTTAAGTTTGACATACTCATATCGTATTGACCGAAGCATACCGGTATAGCTGCTAATTTTGCTACTGATGTATCTATAAGTGTTCATCTCCATTAATTATTTTACAGACTTTAAATCGCCCTAAATCTCATTGGAAGAAAACCGTTAGTGTCAGATTAATGACAGAAAAGTTTCTGTTTGATATGAAACAATTTCCAGCAGAAATATTCAGTTTATTAAGGTAGCCCTTGCTTAATATAGCTAATTTCAAATGATTATCTGAGAATAGGATCGGACAGTTAATAGCTTGATAAGTGGACATGCTTATCGGAAGAATTAATCACTTTGATATTACAAATTATCTTTTCTTTTTGAACTAAGGCTAACTAATGGTGATCAATATCTGCCATTCTTGCACGTAACGGAAATGAGCCAGACTTTGCGTCAGGCGGAAGTTATCGATGTCAATACTACTGTAAAAGTTTTGCATATCGATTATCAACCAATTTCAGTCGGTGCGTTAAGATTTTGGGTCTCTATGGAAGAATCAATGAAACTAATTCGCAAACTTGGTAAAGTGATAGTGCTACATTTGACAGCTGTATTTTGTTAGAAGCGATTAGCAGTGTAATTCATGCGATAAATCGATTACAATGCCATACCAATTAATTGATTATTGTTTCAGGATTTTCTGATAATGATATTGATAAAGTGAAAGGTATATTCTCGAGTGGCAATTTAAAACTCCTTCTTTTAACGTTCGTGATATCATTAGTTCATGTAAGATGACTGTAGAATATTTGTTTCATTTATGTATACAATAAACGTAGAATTAATCAATAGCCTTTCTTTAATTAGGTTTTATTGGACTTTTTGGCATTTAAGAACGACGTTAATTTTTGGAAAGGAAGAAAAACGACTGCAGGTCTCTCTCCTACGACAGGTAGCTCGATAGATCTATTTAATTAATTGGTTAAATAGTAATGGTGAAAATAATAGCTATATGCACTTATATATTTAAATTTAAAAATGAAACCTATACTCCTTTTTAATGTTTGTATTATGTTTGGTTATTATAGTAATATGGCATAGTTTTAGCTATAGCGTTATCTTTCTATACCTCTTGGATGAAGATGCTAGTTATTTAGTCATAGTACCATTAGGGATTTCTACAATTATCGAGGTTAGCTTCATTTAAATTTGCAATAAATTCATGTTGAATCGTGAAGCAGATTAGTAACCCTTTAAATTTCTTTTATGTTAGATTTGGAAATTAGCTAAAGTCTTTAAAGTAACATTGGAAAGGAAACCTGAACATTGGTTGCCATCAATTCAAGTACATAACATTGTTCCTAATACAGAAATAATATTTTGTACATGATTTTAGTATCCTACGTATTATGTGAATTAGCTACGTTATTACTGTAATTTAGAATGTCATATCAGGTTGTTTAATATGTTATTATACCGATATTACAGTTTGGTCAACGTTCTAAAGCTGAACAGGAATCGGAATCTTATGATTTAGAGGTACCAATGCCTTAAATTGCATTTTTAGATAGTTATATCTTAATCAATGGTGACGTTAAGGTTTAGATAGCAATTCTGAATTATCACTGCTAGGCGATAAGATATCTATCATATTTTCTTTATCCGTTGGTTTTGATTGGAGCAATATATTGCTTAATCTATAATTCCTACAAAAGGTAAGACTTTAAAATTAATTAAGTTAAAAATTTTTATACGGTATTATCTTTATAATTTCAAGAGTTTGCTTAATCTTTTACTATACGGAATTATACGTTATTCTAATCGGAAAACTTATTCATTTTTATCGATTGTATCAAAGTTGGTATTCATGGATTCTTCACAGTCTCGTAAACGGTTTGTTACTATACACGAATGATAGATAACGTGTGCATAATTTATTGCAGTACATATATCTTTATTATGACTACACTGACTGATTATAATCTTTAAGGAATCTACGCTTTTGGATTTCTGTTTATGCTGCCACAACTGTTTATTAATTACAAGGTTAATAGTTTATAATGCCGGTCTTAATTGCTTGTGTTTTAACCCTTATATATTAGCGATATAATATTTCTTTCTGTATTGATAATACTAGTTAAAGTCTGTTGCTCATCTTCCTTGGAGAGCATTTATGTACAAGGTATGTTAAATTAGATATCTGCATGAGTAAGACTGCGGATATTAAAAATTGCTAATGCAGTACCTTTCCCCTGAATTCATATCTTAGGCCTTCAATACTTTTATTGACGACGTTTTTGCATTCATAATTATCATGCCAACATCCCATCGTTTAGCAGTATTTCGAGATGATTTTGTATTTCTAATCTATTTGTATCAAAGGTGGTAAGTAATTCGATTTTTTTTTCATGCTGTAATTCCGCCCAACTACAGTAATATCATTATATGATAGTTAAGTAAATTATCATTATTCTATCTCTGGTCCTAGGAGAATATATCTGAAACTATTGATGTATGATCTAATAAATTAATAGTTGATACTTATTCCTCTATTAGGTTATATCCTGTCGATAAGAGTAGGGTAAACGAATTTGGCATGTCATACGAAGACAAAGAAAGTAAACCACATTCCGATTAATAGTATCGGAAAATGTTATAATTCATACGGTGTCAGGAGGATTGATCCTATTTGTAATATTGGAATTTTGTATTAAATATACAGATTTAAAAGATTTATAATTGGTCATGATATTTTGGTAATAAATTTGTGTTATTTAAATTACATAGTATTGCTTATTGTAAGATTGGATGAGGATACTGACCGGCTTACATATCGATCATTCTAAGACGCAGCAATTAGTCTAATTATACGCAGACATTGGAAAGACTAGATTTCAATTGATTTATTCCACAAATTAAACAATTAAAATTTTGAAAGACAACCAGATTTTTCGATCAAGGGTGTACAAGAAAGCAGTTATCTATAAATATATATTACTATAAATTGTATATACATTTCTATAGGCTTTAGATTATACAATACGCTTGACCATAATGTTAGAAGCATACCTAAACTAAGAACTATGGCATAGATATTGGGTTATGACTTACAGAATTTTTACTGCTATCAAATGATCTACGACGACAAATTAGTAATTGTAGACGTGCACACAAATAGTCAGAAAATTACATCGAATGTATTCCATGGAAATACTGAAGGAGCTAAATTTCTCTTGATCAGAAATCACTTACAGCAGCCGTCAAAACAGAACTTTCATAGAATGTTACAACGACGAAGAAATTTTACGTATTAAATTACTAGTTGAACAGGAGTACACGTCACTTAGTCCGAATCATCAAGATTATGGCGTCGTCGATCGAACTATAAGAGATAAAATATAAGAATAAAAAGCATTAGGAATATTCTTTATTTAAAAGCTAGAGATAAGATGTATCTGAATTTTAATAACATATGCCCAACTAGGAAATTATAAGTACAAGAACATTTTAGCTTATAGAAAAAATCGTGAATCTTAAGCTATGCAAATTGTTATATACGTGTACAGAGCTATGCTGCCAATAAAGTGTCCATTTTGGAATAAGTGATTGACATAACATTGAGGCATGATGAGTTTTAAGTTCAGTAATTAATTCTTTTAGTATACCGTATATAACTATAACGTCGTGAAGATTATTTGGATGATTACATATTGTTATTAATAAAACTCTATTTACATCCAAATATTCACACGGGTGTGATACAGTATCCTTTTTAAGATATTCATCTTACAGTATTTCGATCCAAGAAATCACTAATATCGGATTCACAATTTTTTTTAATACAATTTATAAATTACCTTTACGGTAGTCCTTTTTTGAGTTTTTGAGTTGACTTCTTCTAGTAATTTAATCAGTTGCGCTTCACTGACCTGCGATAAAACGGACAGGTAAATTTAATCGCTTACTAATGTCACTCAAGGGGCTAAGTTAAGATACTGGCGCCCAACACATTATAAGAAGAACAGTAACATAGCAGATAGGGTTATCAGGAAAATGATGGGAATATCTAAAGCCATAGTTGATAAATCTCTATTTTAAAAACGACTTTGTGTACTGTAATCACTTGCTACGCAATATTATTAGTTGATTAATTATCACCTTGCCGCCAAGTTGTCCAGTTTTTGCCATATTTATCAACATATTTTCAATCATTGACGCTTTCTCGGGCTTTACTAACGCGATACTATTCACTAACAATTACAATTACATAAATATTATTCCTTCAATTATGCACTATATTACGATATCTATAGCAGATTCTTTCTATTTGTAATTACTTAAATTAGAGTGATAACACTAGATAAGACGAAAATATCATAAAGAAATGCTCCTTTTTCATGATTTGTATAATCGTATTATGCAAGCATATACAAACATCTTGTTCTTGCATCCTGAGCTAGAATTTGCGATAAAATGCTGTTCTTCGCTTCCGCTTCCCTATCAAATAAATTTAATTCTACATTTTAGATTACATATGAAAATTATCCATTACAATTGTAATTAAGTGTCTTCCAATATTTTAATGCATCATTAACGAGCGATGTTATAGTACGTGTTTACACTAGGTTAGAATTGATTCAAGAAGGTGAATTGTACGATTAAAAAGAAAGATGTACATGTAGTCTTGAATAGACGTGTTAAGACTAGCTAGAATAAATTGGAGAAGGTAAAATTATATGATTGAAAAGAAAAAAATGGCATATGTACATACTGTAGGTAGCCTTCCTGAAGTATACAGTAGCGCGTTATCAGGGACTACTACTAGTCGTTACGGATGTAATCTAGTCTAACAGTCGTAAAGGCTAGTATCGATAGTGATCAACATTAAGGTTACGATAACCATGGATTTTCAAGTCAAAACATGAAAAGTAGACATAATACAGTTTGCACTGTAAGTACTAAATAGTAGCAATATGTATAGCACTTTTGTAGTATTTAAAGAGATATGTTGTAACACAGTAGTGAGTTGTTAATACAGCATTGCTAAATTTGTGAAGATTTTTTGCAGATTGTTTAACCCCTGACGATGGCCACTCGTAGCTCTATAATCTACCATAAGCAAAGTCTTGCATGGCAAACAATCCATGCTCGCAATACGGGGGTCGTAAACTGGGTGTATACAATCTACGAAATTAGCGATCATTTAGGTTTCCGTCAGCGCGATAAAAAGTAGGATAGGATTCTATTTCAGTACCTCGCTTTTACTTGCTGTTCCTGTTGTTGCCTATCGAGATTACCTTGCTGTAAGTAAAGTAGAAAAAAGAGTAAAAGAAAGTCAGTAAGATTAACCTCCTTGTATCACCAATCACTAGTCCAATTACAACTTTGTTATCGAGTCACGATCATTTTAACTGCCATCGCCTGCACCAATACTGTCAGTAGGAACGACACGCCATTTTTTAAAGCAGCTTTATTCATGATGTGTATTCGTCTAATAAATAAATGATTATGACTTGAATTACCGGATATTGTCCTTGGAGTTCTGCCATGCGTTTAGCACGGATTTGCTCAAGTTCACTATCACCCATGTTGGTCAAGGAAGAGTTGTCTACACTTAATTTTAGACAAGATGGAGAAAGGTCTGCAGAACCCGTAGGCAGCAAGAAGAGTTTGGCAGTGGAAGCCCAGATGAGATTTAACCTCCCCACTGTATATTCTACTACCTATGGTTTAGAACAGTACCGAACTACACAGTCAAAACACTTTAACAAGCAATCGGAAAAGGGTGACTATGGTAACCGAAAAGGCTTTCCTACGGTCAAACCCAGGGTCTAGTCTAACCATGGGCTACAGCACTAAAGCCAGGCCCTGACTAGACTGGATTACCCGCTAGGCTCGGACGGTCGGACATTTCAGCCTCATGTTAGTTATATCCTTTGAATACTGTTCCAATTTCCCAACACTTCTATTGGTGATCATGTTATTAAGCGAATGATCGATTCTATAATTGGCTTATTTTTCGAAATGAAGTAGTATTAGATTGAAATCTATTCTTTTACTAAGTTCTGCTTGTAAGCAGTTCTATAACGTCATAAATGTTCTTGAATTAGTAAAAGTCATTACTACCGATCTTGTGTGCCCATTTTTCTTCATGGATTCCATACTAAGTAACTTATTTTTCGATATTCTCAGTCTCGTTGAATACAGAAAGTCTGTCCGTCTGTGAAAGTGTCCTTTCTTGATGCATCTACTATACACTACTGTACAATCTACAGACAAGCATATTAGTTTGTATGATGGCGGGTTACCGCACAGATCTGGGAAATAAATAGAGATTAATTGAATCGTTCTATATATTATTGCTTCAGATAATTGCAGTATACAACTTAAAGTATAAACTAATTGTCTTGAGTATTAATAGGATTGTAATAGCCTCACTGCTACTACTACTTCGGTCCTTCATTGCGTCGAAACGCCTCTTCCTCAAGAATAGGTAACAAACCTTCAATTCGAGAGCAAACGCTGAAGTTTATTTAACTCGCGATGTCTTTCCATCTTGCGAGTCCGCCAAGAGATCTTGCTTTTCTTCTCTCAATATAACAGTCGAAAACGGCAAAGATAAACCGGATAATTACTCTTAACCTATCGGTAACAAACCTTCAATTGGAGAGCAAACGCTCAAGTTTATTTAACTCGCTATGTCTTTCCATCTGGCAGCTCCGTTAAGAGATCTTACGTTTCCTCCCTCAATATAACAGTCGAAAACGGCAAAGATAAATCTGATAATTACTCTTAGCCCCTCCAGAACAACAATTTCACAAAAATACATAAGTTATACTAGCATAGTTACTTCACCCTTTCATCAGCCACGACCCACTAACATACTTTAATCTATGCAAACCATTACAAGAATATACGGTCTTTGCAATTCATGGATAAGAAGGAATGAGGCCAAGAATAAGGCCAAGGGAAGCCGTCCATTTAAAGTATCACTAGCTAGTTATAGATATGCGGTACACTACAAATTAATTGATTAAAGCATAAAATGGATCCCCGCGGGGGCCCAGCTTGCATTTCAACGTGGTTAAAATTTTTAAAGTCAAACTCAAACTGTTTAAATTTTTTAAATGGCGTAGCTTAGGTGTTCCTAACCTTAACCTGATAATCATTAGTAAATTCTAATATTTATCCTAAAAATTTTTCCATGAATGTGAATGGGGATCCATTATATATAAGATGCTATATAAGTTAATGTATGGGAGTTAATTATTCCTCATGCGATTAGCTAATACTTGTAAATCTGTAAATCAAACTTATGTGAAATATATCCAGTTTGATAAAATTTTTACTCGTCCTTTGTAGTATTTTCTTAGCCTTTATGGACTAATTCGCATGTACGTGAATATAGATAAATTTATTTATGATTATCAATGCTATATAGTTCTTAGCACTATTGTGCAGTAATATTAAGAGAATCAAGCCAAAAATGAAGGCAAATGAAGCCATTTACGCAAAAGTATCAAGAGCAGGTTATAGGTGTATGCTCATACGATGATTCAATACGAGTTAAGGGCTCGTCTAAATCCGTAAAATCTAACTTACAATCATTAAATTTAATTTGATAGGATTACCGCTCTCTTTGCGTAATAGTTTCTAAGCATTTATGGGCTGACTGTAAAGTGTACAATGTACATGCATACGAATAAATTTAGAAATATCAATGGTACATCAGTACTAGCCCTATACAATAATGGAAAGCAATTAAGCCAAGAATAAGGCTATACGAGTGTATAGGTATTCATGCAAAGTATTAAGAGCTAAGGAAACGGCAAGTTACCACTATATTGAATTATAGCATGCAATACATCCGTATGTACATATACCGGAATTTTTTGTATTCATTAATACTAAGAAGGAGGCAAGTTACCGATATATCGTTACGTTGATTAATAATATTATTAACCCACCATATAAACTCTACATTATACCACCGTGATCATATCAAATGGGTACAGAAAGGTAATTTACAAAGCCTCTGACCATATCAATAAATAATTAATAAAAAAAGTAGGAGATAAGCAAAAATTAGATACATCATACTTTTAAGGTCTATAAACTATGTTAATTATAAAAATTATTCGTTTACCTCTAATTATTCTATTACGAGTTTCATACTGTTACTTGATATAAGTATATGCAGTAGGTTAATAGATTTTACCCTTTTGTTCAACTAGAATACTGAAATTGTGCTTGACATGGAATCATTAACAAAGAATTGGACTAATGGCAAAAGCACAATCATTAATATTCTTAATGATGATCATATTTCACTTCTTTTAAAAAGACTAAATATTATATGCATGTATAAACTATATCAGTAATATGAATGCTAAAAATACCTATTCAACTAAAGTGTAAATTTGATCAATCTCAGATAATTCATTCACCCATTACAGTACTGCCATTACCAGAGTGATTTATATGTCTGTTACAGAGCAAATATGAAACCGTCGATAGAAGAATAACAGCTAAGTACATATGTATCGATAGATTTCTGCAAAGCAAATCCTACTAACTACTCAGTCTTTATTGATTGCTTATCAATAAATTTTTTTCCGTAGTTCTAGGAGAATACAGTAGTAGTAAATCGTTTATTAACTAATTGGTATAGAGTTAACAATAAAATGACTTCTGAAGTGTGTCTACATGATGGCAAACTAATGCAGCTGTTTCAAACTATAATTCGAGCATTAGTTACTAGTGAAACTTAGAAATTCGAAACGCTTTACATGATCATTATTTACGAGAGCAGCTTGCAATAGAGTATAATTGTTGGGTACGAGTTGGGTAATATGAAAGTAAAATAAGAGTCTAACTAGATCTTTGTCTCAGCTATGAAATTTCGATTATTTCAGGCCTTGAAGGTTTTAGATCCTGTAAACTATCTCTGTATTAATAATATAACATGATCTTTTGATTTTTTTTATCTCCGATTGAGGCATATGCTTTCTCCTAAGGCTACTTTCAAACCGTGTTATAAAACTAAAAAATATTGAGAAAAGTAGTAATTGTAAATTATTAAACTTTCTTGTTTACCTTCAAATAATCAGGATTTTTGTACGTAAGACTTTTATATCAACTATGTGTATGTCCAATCCGAATTTTTAATATCCCTAAGAATAATTTAAAGTAATCATACATGTCGGTCGCAGTATCGGTCACGTTGGTTGAAGGATTGCTAATATCTTATCAGTAGAAGTCATTAAAAGCTGCTGTCGTAAAAGCAATAACAAATGCACCATCCAGAAAAGATTGTAATTGTTATTAACTAATAAAGTTCGATAATAATACTACCACGATCTTATTTAGAAGTGCTGCTTTTTCTATTGATGCCACCTTTTGACAAGATACATTGGATGAATGTAGGCCTATATAACTTTCAATTTCCTTCTGTCGCAGTTCTGAAGGCTATTGGCAATATATGCTTTTAGAATAATTAGCATTATTACCAAAAAGAAGGTTACAACGGTAATATAGGATATTTTCAGATTTGCATAAATTCTGTTATAAATTCATAAATAATGTTTTTGTATCATAGCTTTCAGAACTACGAGGTTTATGAAATGTAAGATGATTCGAAGAAAAAAGAACAGATGAAGACGATAAAAACAGTAATATCGAATGAAATTTTAATTACTAGCTATAGAATTTGAACTCTTTATTCTATATTGAGTAATAAAAGAAATAGCAAACGTAAAAAGAACAATTATTCATTGAAATAATTCCATAGTGGAAGTTACAGATTAGATTCCAGACGTAACACATTAAATAATCGAGTTCGTTCTTGAATAAAAGCAATGCACTCGCTCATTACCTGAGGTAATTTTGTATTTGTTTGTGAGTTATATTGTCCTCCATAATTGTAATACATAATAATTATGTACAGTATCCATATCGTTTATAATATTTTATGTGTCTTTCTATTAACGATTATTGAAAAATTCGATTTTTTATAGCAGCTGTGCTACGTTCATTTACTCCTAAGGTTTTTGCTTATAAAATTGAACCGGATATTAAAATTAAAATTTTTCATGAATAAATTAGTAGCAACACGATTAAAATTCACTTCAGTAATAAGCGAATAATTACTGTTATAGGCCATCTATTTGCCCTAAATTCTCTTTAAGCCTGTACTACTTCTATATTACGTACGCGTATAGATCATCTAATAGATAACGGTAGATGAAAATAGGAGCAATACTATTGTTGCTTTATTCAGTATTTTCATCACGGAGTACCGTATATCTTTCTATCTTTATTACCCGTAACTCGATCAAGATATAGTAGTTTCAGGTATACATTAGTAATAACAACCTAACAAATGCCTTTATTAAAGTACTAATAATTACCGTAATTCGTTATAAACTTGCTCTAACACTCTCTAGAACTAGAAATATCAATCTTATACTTAAAGTAGTTATATTCTATTATACTCCATACGCTGTCATGCTGCGAATAGCTTAAAAGTAGTACTAGCTTCATTCAATTGTTTACTGTTGCGAACTTTTTTATTTCTATTGGCACTAACTTTTAGAAATTTTAGACTTGATTGCCCATTAAATCTCTTAATGCTTTATGATTTATCCATATATACGAATATGGCGTTATTTTAATGATGAAATGCATCACAATCTCGTCTTAAATGGCTAAGGCATTAGGTATGAATGATATTCACAATGGACTAATAATAAAATTTTCAACATCGAAAGTTACTCCATATTAATGTGTTTTTAATATTTTAGGATATAGGTTTTTATTGTCTGCTGGATCATTTTGACGCATTTTAAATGATACATTTTGTGTGATTGTTAAATTTGATAAGTAACTACATTTGGTTGCTGACTGCCGTTACAGGGAGAAAATAGTGGATAGTTCTGCTCGCTGAATTGTCATGTTATCAACTTTGAAATGATGGATGCCAATAGTCTGTTAAAACATATTTTGGGCAAGAAAGTTGCAACCAATTGCCAAAGCTTCAGCATAAGTATCATCTTTATACGAAGATGTACACATTTGTTCCATATTGGATTCTGAACATTGAACTGTTCCAGTAGAGCCTTGGCAACATTGTGATTTGACTGCTAGGAGGATTCCAGATCGTTTATGTGGACGTGTATGGCGCAAGAATGTCTTGGCTTCTAATGCCGAATCAAGATCTAAAATTGAGATGGCAATAAGCTAAATGAATGATTTGCTAGTAAAAAAATTGAACTCTAGAATAGCTGAAGTAAATAGATATTAACTTTTGGTCTTGAATAATTTTATCCTTACGTTGTTCATTAAGATATGCTAGTAGAATTAATTTCTCAAAAATCTAAACCTACTAAATGAACACTTAATTAAATCATACTATTTAAAGCGATTTTACGTACAATATTTTGGAAATTTAAAGCCCCTCTTGATAAAAAGACTATCATATCTCTACTGCTATGTGGGTACAAAATGGCAATAGTATCTACCCAATACATTTCAATTAAATTAAAAAATAAGGAAAATAACATGATAGATGGGAAGAAATATCATTGCAATGGTAGTTCCAAATTAGATTATTTATCGTGCTTCGCATTATGACGTTGGTATTTTAATTTAATTTCTATTTTGATTATTAACGCGAAGCTGATGATAAATTAATAAAATCAATCCATATGCTTTTTTACTAATTTGTTAGATCGATATTATTGGTGCAGAAAAGATTGTATTTGGATGTTCACAAATTAGCTTTAAAACCTTTTGATAGGCAGGTAACAATGTAATAGTAGAAATTAAAGGTCACAAAGATAAAACAAAAATATTAAAAATGAAGTATACTTATGTTTTAAGATTTTATTTCGATACGTTCTTATCTATTTGTGCGATCAATAATTAACGAAAACGTAAGCTGAGAGCAAACTACGGTGATTTAGATATCATGCGAAGGAAATATTATAAGTTGCATACAAGTAAAGGGATAAAAGTTGAAATGCTACTCTATCATTACGTTTTCTATTACTACTTTTGTAGGCGTTATAATCGTCTTTCAATAATGATTGAAAATATGACTTTTTATTGTCGTAAATCAGCTAATAGATATCTAGGACTTTGACTTATTTATAAGTTATTGGGTAATATTAAAGATTAATCTTATCTCATAGAATGATGATAAATTGAATTTCATTTCTTCTTAGTTTGCAGTTATAATGATTGTCAACAGAAATTGAAAGGATTACATGGCTTGTGAACAAGAAATTTATAAATTAATGGCAGGGAATTTGTTTGCGGTTGGCTAACGAATCGTGAATTTCTATTTTCATAATTAGAAGTGTAAATTTTTGATTGAATAATATGAATCTGTGTGAATTACATCTAACTAAATATTATTGATCTGGGTGTCGGGATGTATTTATATTAATTAGCGTTAGTAAATAATGAAGATGACGGGCTTTTACATGCAACTTCTAATTTTTGGCATAGAAGAAAAGAAAGGATGATATAATAATAACAAATGAATATGATGACTGGGGTTTGATGAAGAACAAAATGTCGTGTATTTATTTGCTTAACGGCTTATACGAGGCAATCCATACTAGTAGTTAATGTAAGATGCAATCAAGGGTTGAAGTATTATTCAAAAATATTATTGCTCTAGGGCGCTGATAATTTGATTGATTGTCAATATGAAAATTGATTACTTTAACGGTCTCTATTTGCTATATTTACTTAGCAACATGGATAATTCTAATAATTAAGTGAAAACAATCGTTAAATTAAATTCTATTAACTACCACCAATGCTGATGGGAATTTTAATCTTAAGAAATAAATGACAGGGTGGGAAACGGGTGTCTGGAACTAACTTTAATATTAATTACCAACGAAATTAAATAGAGAGATTGATTGCTTATTATTATTATTTTATACTAACCATTGAAAGAATATTTGAGATAGATTGTATTAAAAAATATTTCGTTATAAAATAATTTAAAGATTACTGATAGTAATCCAATTTTTTAATAACTCAAGACATAGAATTTAAATTAGTAGCAATATGCTAATAAAATTGAAAGTAGGATCAATAATTACTGAACTATGGCTGTATCATGATCGATTATCGACTTTTGTCGACTAGAGTAGATTGGGAAAAAAAACTACGTGAGCATAGCTTTAAATTGTATTGCTAGAGAATTTTTTAATTAACTGAACCTATGACATATGTGCACTAGTTACTGTAAAATCAATCAACACCTAAGCTATGTTGTAAAAGTGTATATTAAACGTAAGAGAAATAATATTTGATCATGAAAAATAACTGAGAAATATGAAGCAAAAAGTAGAGGCGTTATTGACAAGATGATACTTAATCTTCAACATATGTAAACTATCTGATCATTGAAAGAATATTTTATTAACTTGTTATTTAAACAGAAGAGGGAGTAGATCAAATAGGGTGGAAAATCGATGGCTCAAAATAATTACATCTAGTCGTTTTAGTTAGCTAATTGATGTTATAGTAAGACTATCCATATTTGAATTTATTACCGTTTCTTTCGTTCAATGAATTTCTGCCATTACGCCATGTATCAATGATGTTTCTCTTTCGGCGCTTAAAGACGCAATCATCAAAACTTGCGTAATGTTGGCATTTAGACCAAAAGGCACCCGCCATGGCATAATCATCACCGCAATTAATCGCTGAAGAAGTAGAAGCATCGTTGAAAATGATAAAATCCGAAGCCGTGGTTATATGAATAGCAGATAATACAACGGCTAAGGTAATAACAGCATATAGTCTTGCAGCCATACTTATGTTCTTCGGGGATCAGCAGTAATAGTATTGTAAAATGATAGCAATTTTGTTTTTAATTCGTCAACCTATGAAAAATGGATAGTTAGAAAATAAAATTATTTTATAACAGGATGAGAATTTTGAATAGTATATTAAAAAAGGCATACAAGCATTAAAAAAATTTATTCAATTTGAAGCGAGTATTAAAATGGTGCTAATACTTTTGGATTCTTATTATGGTTTTAGGGTAAGATCCAGTGTCATTTTTGTTAAGTCGATTTGGTTAAAATAGCTGTCAAATGAAGATTCCTTTGCGTCATAATATTAATGACAGTTGATCAAGGAATAAATTACCATTGATGAAATACTTACATTAAATTGCAAAGTTAGAATGAAGGAAATAAAGATCGAATATATTAATTTGATAATTGATATTATTTGTTGAAAATGATAAAATGACTGTCTAAATGTCGACGACATTGTAGCAATGAGTGATTGATTACCTTTTCAAGCGACAGAAATTCGCGCTAACTACAGTAATGTAGGAAGGAACGGCGATAAAATTTACAGGCACGCAGCGGTGGATAATTTGACGGGCTTTTTAATCGTTCAGCCTTTAAATATACCTGCAGTTGAGTTATTTTTATACAATGAGTATCAATCCAATGTATTGGAAAGCCTATTTGGGATAAGCAAATATTGGTTTAGCAATAAAATACTTAGCTTGATTCATTTTATATATGTACAAGTATATGACAATGAGGAAGTGTGTGTGGTAGTGCGGATAACAGGTGCGGTAATTTTAATTGCTAAACTGATTAACTGACGTCAGATCATTAGTTTAGATGTACTATTTGATTGATAAATGGACAAGTTGTATAACACCAATCACATAGAACAAAGATATTGAATTAGAATTGTTCTATGTCGAATCAGTTCTCAATAAATGAGATAATGGGTTATTTTTCCATACTCTACAGGATAGCGATATCCGCTTACTTTGCGGAATAGAGTAACTATCTATAGATAGGGTTAAAAAAGAAATGATAGAGAGATTTGTAGGAGAGCATATCAAGAAAGAATAGATGTTACCTCCTTTTTTTTGTATTTTTCCTTTTCTTAAAAATTTTTTGATATAATATATAAACAATAAATAGTCATCCATTCTATCATAACAAGGGTAGTGTTATTGATCGATCAATAATCGACATTTAGACTTGGTTAGATACTTATTGGAACAAAATCTATACAAAAAACGATATAGCAATATGAAAAGACGAATGCCCGACATAATAATAGCAATTGCTTAAAAAAGCAACTGATACAATAACAAGTATGTGTTGAAAAGTTCCGTAATGGTTGAAAAATTGCCTATAAAATTAGAATGAATAATTCAAGAATGAAAAAATAAAATTTGATGAGACAGTTTTCTGCGGTATTGAATGTCAATGGTATAGAATAATCATGCGATACTGGCAAATTATTGGGAAAGTACACCGCATAGAATAGAAATTATAAATATACTAAGAATAAAGCTCAAGATATTCGACAATGTTCTAAAATAGATTCTGCTATTTGTTCTACTACTGATAGAAGTGAAATTTGATTGCTATCTAGTCATGATTGATATCATCAAATACCCTTTCAATCATAGCGTAGTCACGTTTTTAATTTAATAGCACTAATCATGACATGGTAGTAAGTGATCAGAAACAAAAACATGAGATAATATATCATCTATGTCTTCCAATCAATAAGTTAATTACCAACGTAGTCATGCTTTAATTGGATGAAATCGACTTCATGATGGGTTAAAATTAATTAAAATAGGTCCTATTCAATAGTTGAAATGCTAGCTATAATGATAGTATAGGTGGGTGTTATTGATTGCAATCCAAATAAATAAACACAAGTTGTTATGATGTTACTGCAACATCGTCAACACAATTTTTAGAATAGCACTAAAATAACGATTACCAAGTTATTGATATTATTTGTTGGTGAAAAAATAAAATGGAGGCAGTTACATTTTATTTTTGCAATATTTCTATAGCAGAAATTTGGATAGAGAATATTGAAATGAGAAATTGAATTGACAAAAAACTAAAAATTCTATTCTCGCCTCGACTCTTATTCATACTTGGTTGAATATCATCGTCATGTTGAGAAAAAGGCAATAGTGTTAGGGTTAGGGTTAGGGTGGATGGTGGATCATTTGCACTGATCTACTTTACGGTATGATGGAAGACATAACTCAATTCATTAGCGACATAGTATGCTCCTACTATTCTCAATTAATCAATAGTCTATTCAGAATGTAAATTGAATAGAAGGAAATAATTTCTATTTTCATTTTTTATTGAATCTTATTATATTATACAATAATTGGTCATGTAGTAACCCTAATCCAAAGCAGGGAACCAAATATCTAAAATAGCCCACCATTTATGTCATCAGCTAATAATAACCTTAATTCGGATAACACTTTAACTATGTACTGTACTCAAATCGCTTATTAATTATAAATAGAAATTATTGATATTTTCTCGTTATAATTTGTAATATACCGTAATTATTTTGAGTAATTTAAGGTAATGGCGTAATTTATTACACTTTTTAGTAAGGATAATCATGGCAATTTATCATCAACAAGAACAAATTGGATGCAATCCATGCCAATAAAATATAACTATTTTATTTGAAGAACAGTCTATAAATGCAATAATTATATGCATATGTAACAAATATCCGTTATATTTTAATATGCGTAATTGTATATACTGTATATTCTATGAGAGATATGTAAATATGCTAGATACATTATTTTTATTACTTTTTCGGTATCGATTCTATATGATAGTGAGGATAATGGCCTACGATCGATGAGTTTGGTATGCTATAAAAATATTTCTTAGATTTTGCATTCTCAGTTACTGTAGTTGTCACAAGTCTATCTCGTGACAGAATGCAATAAGGACTTAAATTTAAACTGACGCCTGATCTGTAAGAAATACTATCATAAATAGGAATCTCAAGGTATAAACATGTTCAGAACAGAAGTATTTGAATAATGATGAGAAGGAAATAGCATGTATTAGTGATTTCATATTGTTAGGATACTTCGCCTACGTTGAACTATTATAATGCTATAACATTTATGTAATATTAATAAGAAACAAATTTTTTAAAATGTTATGGATTAGTAAGGAATTATCATTGATAGAACTATCCTCAAAGTATTACAACTTGTTTTTGAATAAATCATATCGTTAATCCTAAGAAAATCTTAAAGACTAACAGCAAAATATTTCTAGATGATGATGAGATCATAACCTTCCCAACAAAGGTGATAAAAATCGAATTATGAGATGTGCAGCGAATATAGTTTTAAAACTTATTCATATATTTATCTAAATTTAGCATATTTTAAATTGGGAGTAATTAGTTTATAAGACGTTATTAGTTGTTTCTAGTTGGTAAAAACTCTATCAAAATACTATCACTAATTCTTAAAATACTTTCTTTCAGAATGATGATATTTTTTACGACCCTTGTGAATTGAATATAATTAAATATCAAATTAGCCGCTAAAAAAATGTGAAAGAAATGAGAAAATTAAGATTATTATAATTTTTTGCCGTAGATTATCATGATATTTGATTCATAAGTTAATAAATTTTCGCAAGACGAAACTATACAGCTTGTAGCATTACATCTTCTAGAACATTTACTAAAATAATAGTATATAAATGAAGCCTTAGAGAGAAAAGAATTCATTTTCCTAGGAACGTCATGAATTTACGAGAAGTATTAATGTTACTATGCTACGTGAAATATGCCAATTTTTTTGGTTAAGGATATTTGAAAAATATACCAAAGAAATCTTAATGTATATGTTTAAACTTTTAGAATTGATTGGTCTATTAATTTTAGAATGTAAGTAATTAACGTTCAATTAGAATATTCACTGATGCAGTCTGTTTTTTACGTTAGATAATGGTAAATTAGATGAATTATGATTGAAATAATTGATTACGTTTGATACCGAATGCCTTATGCAACTAAAAATAGTCATGTATAACGAAAGATCAATATCGATATGATGATAATTTTATACATGAAATTCTTGGAAATACGCTAACAATAAATTTATCCTTTACATTTAAATAAACCTGCAAACGATACCACCCTCAAGTTTAATTGAGTTGCAAGATATGCATATATATGTTTATGTGCCATTAGATAACAGCAAGAAGCACTATGGCAATTGTGTTAGGTTTATTCATGGCAAGAGTTCGAGAAAGAGCTGAGTTTAGTAAGGAAGGAATTTCTGTAGTCTAGAATGATTTATTAGAGACGCAAAATATGAGTCAATTAACTGTAAATAGATTATTAAAATGTTATGTTAGTAATCGACAAATTAAACTTGTTTGTTAAAATCATCAGATATTAAATGTTATAAAATATTATGAAATTTCGATAAAAATTTCGTAGCTGTCTCAATTAAAACAATGCTTTACATGAATATTAAGATGTGACAGTGTTATATACAGTATTAGAGTAGAAATATCTATGTTAGGATAATTCTGTTAGACTATCCTTATTTAGTTAACTTCTAATTTGGATATACTGTGTTTTAATATAGCACTGACTATTTATGACAGTGATACGTATACAAATACTGAAATTAACAGTTATAATAGGGAATGCAAATCATCTACTTACATTTCGAATCATTGTGATTGTAACTTACTTATGGTAGATTGTAAATTATCGTGGAAATGTTCCGTGATAGGACATATCGTAATCTGACTATTCTGTATTAGCCATCTGTCACAAAACAGCTTCGCAACTAGATAACGCAATATACGATCAATAAGTCAATTCCTTGAACCACGTATCAAGGAACGATATCTGCACTATCACAAACACTTTTGCTCTACTAGCAGACTACACAAAGACTTAAACGCCTCGTATTTTACGTTAAACACTAAGTTGGAGAATTCACTTTATTT